ATAGACCTGAAAAAATAATCAGTAATCGATGCTGCCTGTGATCACCTATCACCTGCATAAGGAAACATATCCATGCTATTTTTCTTTGTCAGACAGCATCTCTCAACCAGCCATCTATGGTTTTTCTACTTTCTACTTCCGGGGAAAAGGAAAACGATAGCAAATAGAACCAACGTGGAGGAATTTAAATGCTCAAGCTAGCACTAAGATGAAAGCAAGTGTTACAAAAGTTTTCTTTAGAAAAAAATGCTGAAAATTGAGACTGACTTCTGTAAACAGAATCATTTAAGGGATTTTTTTTTCCCTGAAAAGGCTACGATAGCCGTAGCTAAGCAACCTGCCTGCTCTTTATACTGGAAGTTAGTTTTCATAGCACCTTGTTTATCACTGAAAGCTCTGACAAATGCCTACCTTACTTAGCACAATCCTAGCTGGAAGAATACCAGATTAGGTCTGCTATACTGTTGTGAATGGATCTTTCCCATGAACACACCTAACGCAAAGTTATTTTTAAAATAGCATCTGAAATGCTCGTGTATGGCATGCTCTTCGAATACACTGAGTTGTATGAGCAGCCAGTCAGACAAAACCTTCCTGCTTTTGGATCCAGAATTGCTCAGGTTTTTTGTTTTTTTGGTGGTTGTTTTTTTTTTCCCCCTCCTTTATTTGCACGTTAAATAGAACTGTTCACCTTCCTATCTTATTTCTTTCTCTTTCAGCCTAAGATTTGATTTAGTAATTATAATCTATCACTAAAGATCCTGTTTTCTTCCAAGGGGAAATATACCCTTATATCCCCTGCCCTGATTTGGGTACATCTCTTGCCATAACTTGAATGCAATCTGTAGTTCCAAGGATGATTACCTACATACTAAAAATTAACTGTATTTTGTAAATTCTGCTCATTGTAAGATTCTATTACCAATACACAACATTATTTTCATGTTCTTCTCTTTCCGATTGCATTTTTTCCCTCCACTAGACAGGACAAAAGACATGCAAATATAAAGAAAAAAAGCAGTGACACTGCACATGACCCACCAGGCTATGACTGGATGCTAACCTCCCATCACAAGATGCAGGTGCACTAAATAGCCTTTATCTGTTTGACAAGGACACCAGAAAGCATGTTTAGAAAAACAGAGAAAGCACTGCTGTTTTTCCTCTCCCAACTTCCTAACCTTCCCCATCTTCCTCAGTTGGTTGACTGTAATACTATGTTCACTGTAATAAGGTGCAGTGGGCCCCAGTGTTTACACTACCTAAAGACAAAATAATGAACCAAACTCGTCATACATTTCCTTTCTCAATTGGTTGTGCATCAAATAAATACTCAGCAGGTCCATGTGTCTTCCTACACAGACAGCAACACAGCCTTTTTGTTTACTCTGCCTCTCTCATTTCCTCTAGATATTTTTGCACACTGTCATTTGTGGAATACTGTTAAACCCAAAGGGATGTCAGCTGAGCCTGCCTCACAGTGCAAGCTGTTGGCAGTCTCATTAAGGACAGTGAACAGTGTGGAAGCCACTGCAGTTTTCAGACCGATGCTGCTGGCTGAGAGTGTTCAGGCCAGCTCAATGCACAATGCTAGCTGATTTCTTCAGACATTTCCCTGCCTTGATTTTATTGTCAGTGTCTCAACAAGGACTCTAATGTCATTACTTAAAGCACCAGTAGTTGCTGCCAGCATTTATGGTGAAATAACCTAATCTATTAAAAGGAAAAATATTAAATGTTTTAAACACTAAAAATGCATTCTTTCTTACTGCTCCAGCCAGCCTCACCTGTACAATGAAATCACTTTGTATTTGTTATCAGGAAGCTGTCTTTTCCCTTCTTGTTAATTTCAAAATTACCTGTAACGTTCTGTATTCTGCCCAACACATTTCAATTATTTCCAGTCCTATAAATAATACCCACCTCGTTCACTGCGGCCCCACAGAGCCCAAATTACCTGTGTATTTTTTCCCATGTATGGTTTCTCTCTATGCTTATAGTTTTAGACAGGGAAGAGCAGATTTGTATCCCTAAAAAACAGCTCTCTGCCTTAGATTTAACAACATTGTCATTAAATGGAACAGGTACCTTGGTAGTAAACACTTTCAGCAACAAATGGCAATTCCGCTAAGGCAAAGGCTTACCAAAGAGTCTGTGGAAAGACAACGTAGCTCTGAATGCTCAAGTCATTAACAAAACTGAAAAGCAGCAGCAAGGTCTAACAACTTAAATCACTTTTCCCTTCCTTACTTTGCTTGAGAATGACTTTGTAACTGGGGACAAATCATTCTGACACCAGCAGGTATTTCTGTATTTTCCTCAAAAGAGAAAATGAAAGATGGGGAACAACATTTTATTAGTAAGTCAAGCTAGGTGGAAAGCATTACTGCACTATTACATGATATACCTTTATTCCAAAGTGTAGATTTGTAAATAAAGAAGCCCCCTCCTGAAGTGGTGACCACAGAGGAAAAGAAGATTCTTAGGCTGTTTCTAGCAATTGCCTATCTCCAGGGTCATTGATGCCTTCTCTTCAGACACAATAAGGAGAAGCACTCCCAGCTGGCAAGCTACATTTTGGGGAATGTTAGTATCACCTTCTGTACATCATGAGACCTTTGTTGATTTAGTACTCAAAAAAGTCAAGAACAGATAAGAGGTTTCTGTTCTACAGATAAGTTGAAAAGCCATTTACGCAGTAACACTCTTCTCCATCCATGTATGTCATTAACACCTTGAGCTGTGACCATTAGCTCATCCCACTTATACAGCATCACTCATTAAAGAATTCCTGTTCTCAAGAGCAACACTGCATATCTCTACTTTGGTAGACAGACTTGGATTTGAGACTGAATCTGCATTTAAGTATCTACATCTAGGAGTTGTTAGATGTCTGAGCTGTGTTACTATAACAAAATCTAGCTAGTAAAATTGGTGAAGCCTGTTGGAGCAGCTAAAGACATGCATACCTCTTGCATAGAAGGAGCAGAAACAACTTTTGCCTGAGAACATTTTATTTCCTTTTTGCATCACAGGAACTCATTTTTGGACTACAGCACTGCAGTAAGTTATTAAAACAAAGCGTGCATCTTTCCAGTATGAAAAACAAAACATTCTTTGTAACACCAGCCCAAAAACCAAGTATGAAGACTGACCTGTAATGTACACTTTGCATTTTATGTTTAAAAACTGTTTCACAAGGCAGCTAGGAAGCATCCACCATGCTCTCAGCAGGAGAGTGAAGCTCAGAATTCAGATGAAGCTCTGGATTAAAGCTGAAGGGACCTTCCCTCTTTCAGTGGACCATGCCACCCACAGTTTCTAATGCACAGTAAGCTCAAATCACAGAAGCAGCCTGGACTCTAACCTTCCATAATCCTGAAGGTCATCTTTAGAACAATTTCCCTTGCACTCAGTTTCCTACATTACACTCCACTTCTCACGTGCAAAGAGAGGAAGATGCATTTCCCCTCCTTCTCCAACCAATTATTTCAGAGGGAACAGATTCTGTATTCTTCTCAGGATATAGACTTATAGATTTAGATTTCAAAGAGAAATGTAATTTTGAAATTACCTCCGGTATGCTTATATTCAGATTCTGTTTTGCTTAAGAACACACAACACGATTCAGAACCCATTACAGCAAACAACAGGCTCTGAACCATTTCAAAGGGGCATTAGAACTGGCTTCTGATCCTTCTCCATTATCTCCATTTTCCTTAGATGTTCTTCTTTAACCTTAACTGCCACACACATGCTCCCCACCCCAGATTTTCTTCTTAATTGCAGGAAGAAATACAATTTACCATCTCAACCCCCTGCTGAGGTTTCTATTCATAAGAAATTAGGAAAAGGAGGAGCACTTGTCAAAATACCTAGGTACATTTCACAAAGTAGCATATTAAAAAGCAAAGTTTACTAAGATATCACAGGAATTTACATCTTCTAAGAAGAAATATGAGATATTGAACAAGTGTTACCTTGAATTCAGAAGGCCAAATTTGACAAAGCGAAAAAAAAAAATCCCATTTGAATTTAGTCTTTAAGACTTAGTTGAGTCTTAGTTCTTATTGGTTCTTATTGCATATATAGTTTAAGAAAAAAAGAATTCCAGTGAAAGATAAGAAGGATATTTACAATAATTCTGAGATTTTCATGCTCAGATAAGGTTAACAGATGAATTCCTCAGACAGAAGTCTTTACTAAATTCAGATTTGGTTTTGATAAATGAGCATTTTATGACCAGGCAACTCCTAGCTTCTGCTAAAAGACTTCCAGCTTTTTAATTAAGCTTCCTGAAAATGCAGAAATACACGAGGCACATGTATCTCATAGATAGCAAACTTGCACCTTTGAAAACAATGTTACATGTAATAATCAAATAAAGTCACTGCACGTATTTTGTTTTGAAGTTCCATTAAATACATAGATCATTCAGTCTGGCTCCCTCTGTCAGTGTATCATATGATTGGCCAGACACAGGCTCTGAGGAGAAAGGGGAAGCAGGAAGGAATTGAACATAAACATTTAATTAGCTCTGTAAAAATACTGACATTTCTATTAAAGAACAATTATGACATCCAATTCTGTTATTCTTGTTCCATTCTTCCAAAGACCAAGCCACTTTGAATAAACACCACCAGCATCTCAGTTACTTTTACGGCACTTCACAAGGTTGACCACTCGGAAGTAAAAATGAAAATAGGCTTTTAATGTATAAATGTAAAATAGTTTGAGTCAGATGAAGAATTTCATAAATCATTTCACTATCCCTATAAGCAGTTGTTTCTGTACAATAACTTACCTTGTTTTATTTAGTATCAATATTCCTGAAACGCAAGCATTTTAAAACTCTCAAAACTCCGTGACAGCATCTTGAACGAAAAGATCTCTGCAGCTTATAAAACACAAAGTCTTTAAAATCATAGCATTTTTACTACAAAAACAATTCACAGTGGAAAGACTTAACTGAAGGGTAGCTCAGTTCCCTACAAACATACCTCAGAGTTGTTGAGATGACACCTGTGTGTTCCTGAGAACCACCCCTCACTCGAGCACTGGTCGATATCCACCTTCTGCAGATTTATGTCGACTTTAACAACACCTCTGGAAAAGAGAAAACAGCCTTGAACACAGTGACTACATCAATACGTTAAACTTCTTTACGATGCTATAACCTGCAAAGCAGAACTGCATTTTTCTTCTAAATACAGAATTTGATGAAGTGTCTAAAAAGAGAAATGAGGAGTTCCACGTTCCCAAAGCCAAGCCTGCAGACAGATTCTTATGTTAGACCTTACTGAGATGCATTACAAGAACTCTAAATCTCATGCACACAATAGATGCAAGGTGACAGGTATGAGTAAGTTATCCACTCCAATAATTTAATGCCCTTCACATTTTACAATGCAGCAAAGAACTAAAATAAATACAGCGGATGACCTAGACTTCTGTCTCAGACACCGCCAGCCTACCCCAGAAGCACACTGAGCAGCAGGACCAGGTAGTACCCAGCACCGGGCAGGACTGCCATGCCAATTTTGCTCCAGGGAATACTATTTGCCAAAATAATTGTACAAGAAGTCTTTTCTGTACTCTACCCAGATATACACCAACTCTCCAGTGACTTCATATGCAAGAAACAAGAATTAAATCAGGGCCACTCACATTCTCCTTGCTTAACCACCACCATGACTGCATACACTAGCACCACCTTCTCCCCCACAGAAAAGCCTTATATTTCCACCCTTCCCAATTCCAGAAAGCTACAGCCATCCGCAGATTACTTTTGCTCCAATATGTCCCACTTCTGATGGGACAGACAATGCATATGACTTTCCCATTTCCCCTTGCCTTAGGGACTGCATGTGGCAATCTCCTCATGTTTGCATGTCCCAAAGGTAACATGTTTGCACATCCCAAGTGGTCCCCACCTCAGAGAAGGGCCCACGCACCTCTGCAGCCCCATCACAATCCTGGAAAAGGCTGCTTTGCTGGTGCCCCTGCAGCACAGAGACATGCATCCTACAATGCTCTGAACTATTTCAGTCACCTCGTTCACCTCAAAGCACCTCGCTTCCTTTTGCCAAAGCAGTGCATATGTAAGAAATGTAATAACCATGTTACTGAGCCATTTATTTGAGGAGTCACTTTGGAACAAAATCATAAAATAAAACCAGGACAACACTGCTGCCTCATATCTGGCAGCAGCATTGTCAAGTGCAAAGTGTCCATAATAGCGTATCTGGACATTTATCTTCAGACATGCTGTACAGTCAATGGAGACACAGAGGATCATTAAGTGACCTGATTAAGACTCAGTAAAATATATACCTAAAGGAAGCTAGCACAGATGCTCTTTATCCCACTTCTCTGCCTCCTTCTGAGAAGAAATAATTTCTGAGAGTATCCAGTATCACCAAACGAAAGCATTGGCTCTGACAAGCTCAGCTTGAAATGGTACATGCCATATTTCTGGAAATTTACAGCTTTGTGCATTTCTTACACTTGTTTTGGACATGAGTCTGTCCAGGAACTGCTGGAATTAGTCTTCCCCCACAGTCAGTCACTCCTCCCATACTGCAGGTGACCAATGGCCTCAAGGGAAAAGCAGCCACACCGTACACCTTAGTGCTCTGCACTTATTTCTGTCAGTGCATTACCACCTTTTTTAACACAGTGACAGGGCATCTGCCTGCCCCACAGGGCATAAATGAACAGGTGCAACTTGTTTCTCAACAGGTCACACGCAGATCCCACCAGGTAGGTTTCTGATTTATTCTGGACCTTCTTGAATACAAGCACTAATGTGTGGGCTGGGAACAGGACCTGCTCCACAAGTTAATGAATTCTTTGTGGCTCCATAGTGAGATCTTGACTGCAGTCAGAAGGACTGGGGTTAAAGCAGCTCCTTGCGTTCTTAAGTTCACATTATGGAAGGACACTTGGACAAGTGTCTCAAGCATTCTGACTGCTCTAAAGAAGCCAGTTGACAGTTTATGTGGAAAGGAAAAAAGTGAAGATTCACAACAGCCTCATCTGAGACTCCCTGAATACCATAGAGAAGAAGATCTGTTTCCTTTACAGGAAATGTACTCATGTACATTTTAAATGATAGAAGAAACTTTCCCTCTACAAACACAAGAGGAGATACAAAAATGAAAGTTATGAGTAAACTGATCCCTGCTAGAACAGAAGTAGTTACAAAGCACTCTCTCCACCCAGCAAGAGTTTGCTACCTGGTAACCCTGGCCTCTTCCATGTCCTCTAACCAAGGGCAGCACCCCTTTGAGCAGCAGGCCCACCTTTCCTCTGAACCCAGTTTTGTTACTAATGCACTTGTATGAAAAGCAGCCAAGATTTTTTGTCTCTTGCCAGATTAAACTCCAGCAGGGCTTAGGTTTCCCCAAGTCCATCCTTGTCCTTGTATTATTAGGGTTACCTGACCATGCTTTCACCACTTGTGCACTTCCATTTTACGTTTCAGTTTTGTCCATGCAGGCTAGAAAGTTACCAACATCCTTCTTCCAGGAGGACAAAGTATTTTAACTTGAACAAATAAATTTTTCATTTGAATTTCTGTGCAAAATCTGCTTACAAGAACACTTGCCTTTCAACAAGCTCATGTTCATGACCTCAATGCAAACATTTGTCTTCCTACCTATTCTTCTCATCTTCTGTTCTTGTGCACAACCTGAACTTCTGATACAGATCTGCAATTATTTTTGAGTTTTAAGAATCTGTCATGAAAATCTACAGGAAAGAAGGGCAGTCCAGAAGTAGGACTATAAAAAACTCTCATGGAAGTCATTAGGCTTCCCATTTTCTTAACACAACACATCAGTCCTTTCTCACAGTACTTCTGCAATGTTTGTTTCACAGTGACATCACAGTTCTGCTGAGATAGCAGCAGGGTATTACAACAACTTGATGCATAATGCTTTCAAAAGCAAAAGGTTTAAAGTTTGTGTGGCATTTACAGAAGGCACCACGATAGCACAGACATACTGCTTTCATTGGGGATGTTTTGCCATTTTAAAACATCTCAGACTCATACCCACCATTATTACCCAGAGTACATCAGTATGTACATGATGATACATTTCTGAAATTCATCTGTGATTAATACAGGAGCTGGCACAACCTGGTTAGCCACCCACATTTCCAGTTATTTTTTGATTCAGCATTTGGAAAACTGAACATATGGAAGAACACATCCTCCCAGTATGTATACAGATCTAAGAACTACCTCTAACTGCTACATTTATTGAACTAAATGGAAATAATTGTAGCTCTGCTACTTCAATAGAAGTGATCCAGACAAATGTCAACCGTACAGCAGTAGACTCATCTTGTCAGCCGAACACATTCACCCATACTGACAATGCTGCTGGCTGAACCCAAGCCACAGTACTAAGTTCATAACAATATTACTGGTAATTGTGGACCATCTGCCAAGTAAGTATATTTGGTTAATCTCCTTACAACTCTAAATATTTGTTTTCTGCCACAATTTTACAGCCCTTACACAAAGACAAAGACTACAAGTTCATGTTTAACATTTTGGACAACTACAGATAGGAAAGAATTAGTTGAATTGTACATAACAGATAATCATTGAAGGATGATGTCATCAAGGATTTTGTCGGATCAGAGGTTTGATTTAAGAGGCTTTTGTGTCTGTCTTAATTTCCAGTACCACTGTTTGTCAGCATTCTGTTTGCCTCAAAATCCATACCAGAAATTGATTTAAGCTTATTTCCCCAACCTAGCAGCTATCTTGATAGTTTATGCAGTTATAATATTTCAATGTAACGTGTTGTAAAATGCGGACGTACAGAGGAAATTTCACCCATACTGTCACATCACAGATGACCAGAAGGAACATCTTCCTGCTCTCCCAAACCAGCTTAAGCCAGGACTGCACAAAACAGCCTGCCAACATTTAAATGGTGATAAACAGTATCTTTGTCCTCTAGATCTTCCGAAGATTTTGGCACAGAGGCCACTACAGCTCAGCTAAGCAGGCATTCAAACTTTGTCTCCTAGACTTGCTCCCTTTTTGCTGTAACTGTAAGAACTATAAGTAAACAAGACAACTCTATGACCAAGATCTGTGTAACAGTGTAGCCAGTTCTGCTAATATGCTCCATGTAGGAAGGACACTAAGTCTACTAATTGTAGAAACCTTCTGAAATACAGAAATAAAGGAGAATATATAAAGCAGTTCATTTAATGCTATATACTGGGGAGAAAAATCTCTCCAAGTCAAAATGAAGCCTTTCAAAAGCACCAGAAAAGCATATGTAATTTGTCATCAGTCAAATGAGATAACACTAAAACCTTTATAAGCATGAATCCTGCATGCCTCAGTAGAATTAAAATCTCTTCACCATTTGTTGCATTTAACTAGGGGGAAAATATTTAAATATATATTATACACACACACACACACACATATATATCGCCACTGAGGGCTTATGCAGCCAAACAAATGTCCCAGGGCCACATCAAATGCCACATCGGCACAATCCAGGTACCTGGTGCAACATCATGTGTTGAAGCAGACGACTCATATTTAAATGTTTTTCTAAATTCTTTCTGTCATATCCATTCATCTCCACACGTCGTTGTTCAAAAGTCTTCCTCAGCACAGAACCGGGAGATGAGACAGGTGAATTTTCACACAGCAGGTGGTGTCGCACTGGAACAGGTTGCCCATGGAGGTTGTGGATGCCCCATCCCTGAAGGCATTTAAGGCCAGGCTGGATGTGGCTCTGGGCAGCCTGGTCTGCTGGTTGGCAGCCCTGCACATAGCAGAGGGACTGCAGGTAGATGTCACTGTGGTCCTCTTGAATCCCAGCCATTCTGGGATTCTCTGCAGATGTCCTAAACCTGCAGACGTTCAAATAGCTCACACTACTTGACACTTGAGTCTACTCCAAAATGTCTTCAGCTGTCCAATTCACAACAGCTGACATTTGGCTGCAAGTTTCAGTGGTGATCAACAGCTTTCTGCACATTCAGAGTTACTTTTGAAAGTTAAGATTTAAGATTATACATCACTAAGGTGCCCCTAAAACTCATTACCTTCACAATGTGACAAT